ATACAATTTTAGCTGCGAGCGCCTCGGCTTATTACGTTATAATTATATCCCCGTTTGACTTAGTGTGACCAGATTCCTTTTGGTTTCGTGCCCCGCCGCTCTGGTGCAGAGGGCACTAACAGACCGTGTCATCCGGGCTAAACATAGATCTCCGGAGACAGACGAAAATATATTGTTACATATAGATGTGTTTTTAGTAACGCAGACATGGCAGACGGAGAGACGCGGTCACTGTCTTTCATGTGTTTATGTCTCAGTGAATTAATCACAACCCGTGCAGACTGCGGCCATTGCTGGTGTCACATGCGAGTATGAGACAGTTTTTTTTTTTTTTTTTTTTTCTTTCCCTGAAGTCGGCGTAACAAGGTCTTCTGCTGAATAATAATGTTTTACTTTCGGTAACGTGTAGTTTTGGTCTAATGGTTACATCGCAGGGTTTTAAAGACAGACGCGGTGCTCAAGCCGTGGTTCTAAAATGTGACATTTGTCCGCTCACATTTAGGAATGTTCATTAACTCAATTAATTATGATTGAGATCAACACATTCTCGTATATTCTATCCTCTCAGATCTGCACAGCCCATCCTGAGTTCTTAGCTGTAGTAAGAGGGACATTTGTTCGGATCATTTGTGAGGTAGAAATCCTTCAAACCGCATTATCCACACCTTTATCGACACGCGCTGGTTTGAGCACCGAGGCATCCCTTTTGGCACCAGTCGCAGTTTGTAAAAGCACTTCACGGCCCGTGTTCTTCCTCCCCTCCTCCTGATGTGTTGATTTTCCTCTTAGTTCTGCAGATCACTTGAGATTCCGCAATATCCGACACTGTCTGCAGACTCAGCACCTTCTAAGGTCTAACCACAAATTTCTTTTTCAAGTCAGGGGGATTTTCAGGACTGCTCGAAAGCGCCAACTTTCTAGGAACCTCCCAGTGGAGTTCCAGATTTGAATTAAACTGCTGACCCCCTTATAAAAATGGACACTTTTCAAGGTGCCCATGATTACTTTTTCTTAGTTGGTTAAATTGAAAGGAATTTGCATAATAACCCTTGAAGAACTTTTTCGAGAACATACACGTGGCTTGTTTTTTTTTTTTTTTTTTTTTTATACTGCTCTCGATTTTTGCAGTCCAAACCTTGATTTCAGCCTTTATTTTCAGGCGTTAGAAGACTGTGACATGCGGGACTGCCGGACCGCTCGTGCTCAGGATGGCGATCACGGCAAAACAAGTGGACTCCACAACAGCAGGCCTGTTAGTCTGTCCACCAACCGTCAGGCGCAGAACCAGGATGTGCCAAAGCGTCTGCCTCGTGTTCAAACACAGCAGCAGGCCTCTAATGGAGCCGTCCCTCCTGCTCTGACCAGCACTCTGGAGCACATCGTCAGTCAACTGGACATTCTCACTAAGGTGAGTTTATGACTGATGGCACACACTCTATACTCTACACTGGGGGAGGGAGGGAGGGAGGGAGGGAGGGACTCTGCCTCAAACTTCATTTATCTTTACACCTGTTAGAGGGAGGGTTCAGGCTTTAAAGACACACAGTGTATGAAGCACTAATTTTATACTGCTAAATAAGGTTAGGGCGCCAATGATTCTGTTCAATAAAGGTTCGTCCAAAGCTTTATTATCTTCGATCTGTTGTAATGCAGGCATTTTCACTTTTATTGCTCAAGCGCAGGCTGGTCAGGATAACAATTTTCCGCATGATATATTTTGATTGTGCGCAATATATTGTTTCAGTGTATCTAAAAAAAACTGGAAAAAAAAACACAAATATATAAATATATATTTATATGTATATTTATATATATTTATATATGTATATATTATTATTTATTTATATATGTATGTATATATATTTATATATATGTCTATATATATATGTATATATGTATGTATATAGGTATATATTTATATATACAGTATGTATATATGTATATATATATCTATGTATATATGTTTATATTATGTTTATATGTTTGTATTTATTTATATATATATTTATATATATATATTTATATATTTTTTATATATTTTTTTTTTTTTTTTACTTTTGACTGTTAGGCTAAATTGGAACCAAGACTTTAGACAAAGACTTAAGACCAGATCTAAATTGACTGTCAAAATGATCATTAATACATACAGTTATGCTCGTATGTATGGACTTGTCATATGAAACATTAGAAATTGATTACAGATCGATAACGTAATCAGACAACGTGTAGTCACATCCCCACCGTCTGTGCTCTCTGTTGCTCTCGTGTCTGTGCGACTGTGCTGACCAGACGCAGTTTGAAACCAGAGCGAACTGGAGCCTGCGGGACTTTAAAAAAAAAAAAAAAAGGGGGGGAGAAAAAAAGCACGCTCGAACAAAATACATAAAAGGAACGGCATCCATTTAGCACGATGACCTGCTTCTAATTAAACTGTGTCCCTTTTTGTGGTGCGTTTGTTGTTTAGAGAAGTGATTAGGGATGCTCATGGCAAGACTTTGTGAATAAATGTTGTGGATTAGGAGGAAAAGCCTTCGATGTTGTTCCGTCGGCACACAATACTTTCAATTACAACCTTAGCCTTTAGCGAGCTCATCTGTTTCGAGTGCCATTAAACCGATCCAGCCCTTTATTATTAACGATAAGTGGCAAATGTTAAGCGCTGCGTATGTTTCTCATGTTTGTCCTCTCCTCTTCGCGATTACAGCTTTTTTTTTTTTTTTTTTTGCAAGGTGTTCCTCGCGAGTAACTCCTTCTGACAAATGCCCTGTCTTTTTTTTATTCTCTTTGCTTCTCGCCGAGGATTACGCACAGTTCACTTAGGCAACTCAGCGTTTCCTGCAGATGATTTGAAGCCACATTATCCTTGTGTCAGTGCGCTGTTTTTTTAAATTATGAATCCAGTGCTACTATGTGTGTGTCAACAACTTTCAAATTTACTGCCCGTTTATCCTGTGCTTTTCTTCTGCTCTGTGCTGTCATGTCAACCTATCGCTTGGTTTTGAATACAAACACGCATCTAACCAGCCAGGAGGGACAACAATAGCCCCATATTTCATGATGACTTCCAAGTTAAGGCATATTATTAAAAAAAAAAAAAAAAAAAGCCGGATAATAAATCTCAACATGTTGATCCGTTGTCGGATACTAATGTCGTAGGTGTGACTCTGGGCACAGGAGGAGATTTTTTTTTTTTTTTTTATTTCTGCGCTGTATTGGTTTTAGGGTGTGTGTGTTTTACGATTCAGTGTGTGTTGCGTGTGTGTGTGTGCAGGGAATACTTAACATTTTACTCTCTTTTTCAAGCAACATGCAATCACAGATTTCTGCTTGTTGTTTTTTTTTTTTTGTTTGTTTTTTTTTTGTTGACTACAAAAAAAGCCAAAGTGATCCAAACGACCTTGCAGAGCTGCACAAACACTCCTTTTTTTCCTATTTGATTAAGCTGCAGCCCAGAATGTGGGAGTGTTCAATATTGACTCTATGCAGTCACAACCTCAGCTAAACCTCAGCTTTTCATCGGCTGGCCTACTGTATCTCAACCCTAAACTCCCCCGTTGTCTGTTTGTACCGCGTCTGAATCTGTCAAGTCTTAAATTGGCAGTTTTTGTTTTGTTTTGTTTTTTAACCCGAAGAATAATTTGTGCCTTTCCTTGTTTAGGGTCAACACACTGAGAAAACAGAGATAACAAATAATAAGGGTTTATATAAGTATTTTTCAACCTTTGGTTTACGGCCCCACATGTGGTCACTTGGAATTTGAATGGGGTCGCAAAAAATGTCTACTAATAGATAAAAAAAAAGAAAATGATGAAAAAAAATGATTAGAACACCACACTAATCTGGTTACTTTGAACACAGTATATCAAACGGGATTTAAATATGAGGGTCACAAGCCAAAAAAGGTTCAATGACTTGTTTGCTATGACTTTGAATATGATATGATATAACATAATATATATGTATTATTTATATATATATATATATA